CAATTTAAAGCAAGTTGGAAAATACCTTTTGACCTTAAGAAGGTTTTTGAAGATTTGAGCTTCTGGGATCTTATAGATGATTTTGAAAAAAGAAATTGTTCAATCTGAAGCAAGTTAAAAAAACTAGTTGCACACAAATCTTAAGTCAGATTTGAACTTCTTAGAACATGTAGATGATTTTGAAAAAAAAATTCGTCAATTTGAAGCAAGTTGAAAAAATACCTCTTTGACTTTTTTTGACATTGAGAAGGTCATTGAAGGTCAAATGTCAAATGTAAAGTCAGATTTGAACTTCTGAGAACATGTAGATGATTTTGAAAAAAAAATTAAGTAAATTTGAAGCAAGTTGAAAAAAGACCTTTTTGACCTTGAAAAGGTCATTGAAGGTCAAATGTCAAATCTAAAGTCAGATTTGAACTTCTGAGAACATGTAGATGATTTTGAAAAAAAATTAGTCAATTTGAAGCAAGTTGAAAAAAGACCTTTTTGACCTTGAGAAGGTCATTGAAGGTCAAAGGTCAAATCTAAAGTCAGATTTGAACTTCTGAGAACTTGTAAAGTCAAATTTGAACTTCTGAAAAGATGTAGATAATTTTGAAAAAAAATTTGGTCAAGTTGAAAAAAGACCTTTTTGACCTTTTTTGACCTTGAGAAGGTCATTAAAGGTCAAATGTCAAATCTAAAGTCAGATTTGAATTTCTGAGAACATGTAGATAATTTTGAAAAAAAAATTAGTCAATTTGAAGCAAGTTGAAAAAAGACCTTTTTGACCTTTTTTGACATTGAGAAGGTCATTGAAGGTCAAATGTCAAATCTAAAGTCATATTTGAATTTCTGAGAACATGTAGATGATTTTGAAAAAACAATTTAGTCAATTTGAAGCAAGATGAAAAAATACCTTTTTGACCTTTTTTGACATTGAGAAGGTCATTGAAGGTCAAATGTCAAATCTAAAGTCAGATTTGAATTTCTGAGAACATGATGATTTTGAAAAAAAAATTTAGTCAATTTGAAGCAAGTTGAAAAAAGACCTTTTTGACCTTTTTGACTTTGAGAAGGTCATTGAAGGTCAAATGTCAAATCTTAAGTCAAATCTAAAGTCAGATTTGAATTTCTGAGAACACGTAGATGATTTGGAAAAAATTTTTTAGTCAATTTGAAGCAAGTTGAAAACAGACCTTTTTGACCTTTTTTTGACCTTGAGAAGGTCATTGAATGTCAAATGTCAAATCTTAAGTCAAATCTTAAGTCAGATTTGAATTTCTGAGAACACGTAAATGATTTTGAAAAAAAAATTTAGTCAATTTGAAGCAAGTCGAAAACAGACCTTTTTTGACCTTGAGAAGGTCATTGAAAGTCAAATGTCAAATCTAAAGTCAGATTTGAAGGTCAAATGTCAAATCTAAAGTCAAATCTAAAGTCAGATTTGAATTTCTGAGAACATGTAGATGATTTTGAAAAAAAATTTAGTCAATGTGAAGCAAGTTGAAAAAAGACCTTTTTGACCTTGAGAAGGTCATTGAAGGTCAAATGTCAAATCTAAAGTCAGATTTGAACTTCTGAGAACATGTAGATGATTTAGAAAAAAATTGAAGTCAGTCTAAACAGTATTTGTTAAGTTATAGGAAGTTGTAAGAAATTGTTACAGACGCCGGACGCCGGACGCCAGACGCCGGACGCCAACCGCCGTCGCAATAAACCTATTGATTAAAAAAGGTCAGTGTGGATGAAAGTTTCTTTAAATATACAAATTAACTCAAAGTTAATCTAACCCTTAAAGGCCCAATATAGTTTTTTGTTTTTCAAGTAATGTTTATTATGAAGTTTCAGAAAAATATCATTGAATAAATATTGGTGGTCGAGATGGATGGAAATGAAATAATCCTTGGGAAAATATGATATTGACCTCGGAAAATATTGTATTGACACTCGGGCTATCACCCTCGGTCAATATGATATTTTCCTCACTTATTTTCCCCTAGAATAAAATTAATAAGCCATATCTCCAACTAAATATAACTACTTGTATAAACTTTCCACGGGGCCTTTAATCTCAATCCTCAATTATCAATCACTCAAGATAATCAACATGACGTGCGGGCCAAATATGTCAAAAGAGGTGAAGTGGTTGGTAAATGTTATCAGACACCAATAACAACAAAAAAAGAAAAAAAACAAACAAAGATTGACCAAGAAAAACGGAATGGAGTAAAGCGGCGATACTTACACCCCAGTCATAATTTCTACGGCTACCCTGCAGTCTGTAAAAAAACGCAAGGCGAGCGTAGTTTTTCTATGCTCGCCGTAGAAATTCACTGATTTAATTGATCTGCGGTCGACGCACGACCGCCGTACGACAAATGTGACTGATGGGGTGTTACTAATGGGACATTTCATCGTGAAAAAACGTCATAAATCGGAACGAATTTTTGAGGAACGGATCCTTGGTACTTTTTAACTCTCGTACTTTCATTTTGGAGAAACGTGACGCTGAATTCACAGGCTTGTCACATTGGATTTAAATCTATAACATTTAAGAAGATACACAACCGTCAGATTCTGCAATAACCATGTAAATCTAAGAATCATTTCAAAAACGGATTTTGAAAATCGTGAAATATAAATGACATTTCGTCTGAATCGCTTCAACTACATATAGCCTACGTCGTACTTCGTGCTATTTTTTATTGAATGGTCTCTGTATACACGGTGTATAACCCAAACGCTCCTACATGCACGACGGAGCGTTTTATTTACGCGGAAACGCTCCGGAGCGAAATAAAATGGCGGCTAATGAAGATTCCACTATGACCGTCAGTATTGTTTCTCTCGTTTCTCTTATATATCATCTGTTATCGTGAAATTTTATGTACCATTCGATGAACAATACCGTGAGCAAAGATCTTATTTATTCAACTTCTGGTGGTAAACTGTTATTTGCTTGATCAAAGCTCCGTAGTGTAGATCGAACGAATCTCAAGATGACGATTTGACCACAAATTACGAATTAAACTAGTATTTCTCTGAAAACGTTAATCTTTCTGTTAATGTAGTAGATCAACAACTCGTATATTCTCATTTCCGAAAATCCCAGTCCCAATCCATTACTTGTTCTCAAGAAATCGCTTGTTTTCCTCGAAACGCTCCGTCGATTTAGAACACAATTTTAGAAACGCTCTTACCATTTTGTTTTGATATCATTTTCAGATTATTAGAGAAGAGTTTCGAATCGAATCTTTCTCTCAAAAACGTGTTGTACTTGTTAGGCAAATTGAAACATCTGAACCTGGTGGTGCTAAACGTGCAACTAGCTGATTTAAGCCTACATTAGATGATGTCATGCCTACATGTGTGCTAAATCATAAAACTATAGAAAAAAACGAAAATTTATATGTGAATTAATCTTTCTTCTTTTGATGCCAAGGGGTATAATAGATCTTTTCTTTCTCTTCCTGAAAAGGAAAGGCAAGCTATATATTTCCTAAACAGATCTAGACTACCGGAGCGTTTCCAGTTCACTGTGTTAACCAAATCGGAGCGTTTCTTGAATATGAGAATGTCATCACTTTTAAGACTGGATTTTCGGTCATCAAATCACTATTACGATTATGTATGGTGCGTTGAAGCATTGGAATTTGACTAAAATATACGTTGGTGCTCTAATCTTGGCTCAACTAATCACATGTATCGACAAAAGGGGTTTTGACCGGTAGAATGACAGATATGTTTTTGGATTTTGATAACTATACTGCTTCGTGCAGCTCTTCCTTATTGCTTCAAACGTCAACAGCCAGCCAAGTACAACATGAATATCACATCCATCGAATGGTATACTCGAAATATGTAACTCATACCTCTTATTCCCATTATTGGGGAAATTGTCAGACGGCTCATCATTCCCGCCAGCCAGTTTTCCTACTCCGGAGCGTTTCTTTGTTTAATTTCAGGAATGAAACGCTCCGTTGTGCATGTAGGAGCGTTTGGGTTATACACCGTGGTATATATCAAAAACAGTAAATGTATTTTGATGTCATTTTCTGCAATAGATTAACACGATCCATTTGATTTATCAAGATTTCCCTTAAAGTACTAGTATTCCAAATAAATTCTTTACGTTTTAGACATAATCAGATGAATTCTAAAGAAAATGACGTGGTGAAAACTTATAACGTCAAAATGTATGGGTCATTTTGACACTGATGGCGTAATTCCTTGTGCGTATTCATTAACTTAGACCTATTCGTGATGTCATCATTTTATGGTAAAAAGGCAAATTGACATTTTAACGATAAGTTATTCAAGTTATCACTGTTATATTTGACATTTAAAATAAATAACTATATAATAACTGCTCACGTTTTACAATAGTGTTTAATTACAGGCAATTATTTTAGTGTGAAGTAGATCATTCCGGTGATAATTGAGATATTTATGCAAAATAAAATAAAGGGATCCAGAGAGAGATATAGACAACTATTATGTATACTTTAACTTATCAAATGTCTCACTTTTGTTGATTATATAGTATTTTCTATAATTTTACATGATAGAAGATTTTTTATGAAAATAAAGTATCAGATCAATGGAGCTGATTGAATGTAACTGTAAGATGGAACATTCTGATTAGACACTTCTATCAAGTAAACACATGATCAAATAACCTCTCATTAAAAATCCGAATCATGATCAGGTGAAAATTACTACTTTATATCTGTGATGAAGAGCCTGGTTTGTATTCATGCTTTCCATGAATGAACACTAAACATAGAGTAACTGGTACCTTCCGATGTTTGAACATGTGCAAATTCAGTCATGGTATTTTGTGGTTTTGTTTTTGTACGCTGCAATGTGGGATTACTTGTTTTAATTGATGTTTCTATGAATGAACCACTGGACTCATATAAAATAGGTTAGTTCATGTAGTGTTTTGCTAAGTGGGGCCCTATGTTAATATAACATATGTACAGAATCATTGTATTTTATAAATTTTGTTTTTGCAGGCGACGCCTTCGTGATCTTGCTTCTTCTCGCTAGTCTTAACAGCTGTACGAATCCCTGGATATACCTTGCCTTTAGTAACCCACAGGAGCTTTGTACGGTATTCAGGAGGTCGCGCAGTGCGTTCAGATCATCCTTGGACACATCCAGACGAACCAAGTTTACTTCAATGTCGATGTCAACAGCTCCCCATACACTTGACACGAATCACAGTTCTATGAACAACAGGTCCACGAACCACAGTTCCACAAAGGGAGACGCAGCGTCCAGACTGTCCAGTTCTAACTCGTATCGACCTCTATTGGTAGGCGACGAAACATGAACGTTGTTCAAAACGATATTGCCGGCGACGTCGTCCCTATTACCAATTTGGACGTATTTTACTGTTTAATATGTGTTGTTACGGTCATCTCTCATTATTCTGTTTCAAAACTTGAACACTAGAATTTTAGTAGCACGTTGAACTATTTGAAACGAGTGTGAGATGTCTAAGAATATTTTTCATACTAGCAGTTTAATTGGTAAAATATATCGATAGATCGTTTTTTACGATGAACGTGTAGTTAAAGGTATTACATGACTGAAAGAATACATCGGTTGAACAATATTGCAGTGTTAACCTACCTTGCCAGTACAGTTTAATCGAACAGATTTTGCATTCAATATAGTTTTTGATTTTGGTAAACAGATGTGTGGGGTTTCGAGTACACAATATCATCGTATCCCTACACTTAATAGTTATATCTCTTAGGCTAGCTATCCCTTCTTATATCTAACAATTTAACAATCTATGGCTTGCTTTGAAGCTTTGGAAACTTCCAAGTAGCCGTGTGTCCACTTTTCAGAATGAGGCTCAAATTATTCCGAATCTATTCTAAAAGCACTTTGAACTAAAATTGCATCACATTTAAAGAGCCAATTCAATCCACATATCTTTGCATTCTGTATCAGTTAGATAGACGATGTGCATTTCCTTCCATTCGTAAGTGCCCATGCAATGTCTTCGCAAAAACATATATATTCCATTAGGGTTATTTCAATGTTCTGTTCGAACTCACATCATTCATTATCAGAGTCAATGTCAGTTTCAAATGGTCTTCCGTCCTCTTAAATATGCTCCTCTTTATGGAAAGTACAACTTTTACCTTATACAAATGTACCTGTTTTACTGTTCTTGTATTGTGGTGAATTGAGTATTATGTGCGACCACTATTTGATTGATCAAACTCACTTTTTAGTCAGAAATTATGTAGAAGTTGTAGTATGTATTCGCAGTGACATGCTCACAAAAGAGATGTAATGGAATTGTGTCCAATTGTCCACAGTTGTGTTATTTTGCAATTATTAAAGGCCTCATATAAAGAAAGTATGTAGAAGTCGTATGTATTCACGATGACATGTTAACATAAGAGAGGTAATGGAATTGTGTCCATTTGTCCACAGTTGTTTTATTTTGCAATTGTTAAAGGCCTCATATAAAGAAAGTATGTAGAAGTCGTATGTATTCACCGATGACATGCTCACATAAGAGGGGTAACGAAATTGTGTCCATTTGTTCACAGTTGTGTTATTTTGCAATTTTTAAAGGCCTCATATAAAGAAAGTATGTAGAAGCCGTATGTATTCACAATGACATGTTAACATAAGAGAGGTAATGGAATTGTGTCCATTTGTTCACAGTTGTGTTATTTTGCAATTGTTAAAGGCCTCATATAAAGAAAGTATGTAGAAGTCGTATGTATTCACAATGACATGTTCACAAAAGAGAGGTAATGGTACTGTGTCCATCTTTCCACAGTTCTGTTATTTTATTAAAGGCCTCATGTAAAGATTAAACCATCAAAATGTGCTACGTGAAACTTTTCAATTTACTTTCAAAAGGGTGATTTTTGCTCCGAAAAATTGTGAATCTAATTCAACTAAAATGTTAGTTGTCATGCACATACGTTGTTAAGCAATAATTTACACCAATGCATATAACGCAGATCTTATTTTGTATTGAAAAAATTAAGAAAGATTGGTGGAAAAATAAGCAAGAAACTCATTAGCTCAGAAAGGTGATTTAGAGAGAAATAAACACATTTTAAAATGTTAGTTCAATTTTAGTATATTTACAAACTATTTGTACGTACGAGAAAAATGACAATTCATGAAAAAATGACATCGTATCATATCCTCGTGACAGGAAATTTCTTTAAAAATACTTTAATATGCATAAAATCATAGATTGAATGGTTGAAATAATATAACTTTAGCCTGATGTGTTTTTGTCTTGATGATTTAAAATCTAAACTTTTGTTTGTAAAATGGCGGGAAATTCAAATATCTAAAAATTATAAGATGAACAACCTTTTTTCAAAAGTCACAATATTCAAAAAATGTCTCAAATAATTTTTCGAGTCATAAGAAGTAAATACTTGAATGATTATGAAAATGAAAATTCTGAAAACGATATAGCTGGATATATAAACCTGATTCCCAACTGACTGTTCGGTCTATATATCTACTAAACGTGTGTATTTATTTATCTATGTTATCATGAAATCAATAAATAAATATTATGATTGCATTTGTTATTTTGATTCATGAATTATGATTTATCGTATCCGTTCTATTGTTTGTAGCTGTATGAATGTATGTGTTATATAGATTTATTTGAAATGAATAAAAATATTATTGTAAAGAACATCAAACTGAGGCGCATTTTCTATTTCTCTAAATAGTAATTAAATTATTTCATAATTATAGAACTGTTCATGTAAGTGAATTTGAGATTTTTCCAACAATAACAATTGATGGAATTAAGAAAAGGGTTTCATTGCAATGTATTGTACAGGGTGACCGGAAAAAAAGGAGACCATTGAAGTAATCAATTTCTCCTAAACTAGACAAGTGCCATCAATGAAATTTTGCATACACTGGAACAGTTATATGGAAATTTGTTACTGAAGGTTTCAATACAAGCATTCAACTGGTTCAGGAGCTATGATCATTTACATAACATGCTCCAAATAGGCACAATTGAGACCAACGCAGAGTTGGATTCATATGGCAAACTACCCTTACATGTTCTGCCCTCTATGGCATTATTATGGCATTACATATAGCAGTGATTGCCTTCTTTAGGTCAACAATAGTCTGAGGATTGTTTTGGTATAGATTGTCTTTCAAATATCCATACAAAAAGAAATCAGCAGGATTCAAGTCTAGGCTGTAATGGCAATGAAGGGTTATCTGACATGTGGTTCATCATCCTGTTGCCAAAGTGCTGATTTACCAAATCTTAAGAGTCACTTTAGGTATTGGGCATAGTGCCATGTTACTAAAACCACTATATGGCACAATTAAATCCCATATGAAAACCAAGGGCTGCCCAAAACCTCCTTAGGATGATACTGTAACTGAGTGGGACCACTGAGTCAGAAGCCATAGGTCAGATAAGCTTCGTCTCCATACACCTCAAATTTGAATCCACCTGATTTCTTTTTGTGGGGCAATTTGAAAGACAATGTGTACCAAAACAATCCTGAGACAATTGCTGACCTAAAGGTGGCAATAAATTCTAAATGTAATGCCATAACAAGGTCGGAATATGTAAGGGTATTTGCCAAATGTATCCAGCTCTGCGTTGGTCTCAATTGCGCCTATTTGGAGCATGTTATGTAAATGATCATAGCTCCTGAACCAGTTGACTGCTTGTATTGACACTTTCAGGAACAAATTTCCATAGAACTTTCCTGATGTATGCAAAATTTCATTGATGTCACTAGTCTATTTTAGGAGATATTGCCTATTTCAATGGTCTCCTTTTTTTCCGGTCACCCTGTACAATCAGGCTTTAACACATGGTCTTATTATAATTGGGAGAGGACAACATTTGGACCTGAACAACACTATTGCTCTTGCTCTTTTTCCTTCACTTTGACTACGTACATAAATGCACATGTACGGCGATGTGAAGTGACCACCAATTAATTAGTCTCAATCTCCAAGCATTTCGCGCGATCGTTCAATGTGGTCGGGTCTCTTGAACACACTGTTCGAAATTGCTTTGGAAGGGCTTAGACCTACGTAATGTTGATCCAAAAACTTTAAAAAAACAAAGAAAACTTATGTCTCATCATCAAAATTTTGAACATTTGACTTTTCTTGACTTATTCTTTGGTATGTTTGAAAGAAAGAAGCTCTCCACTTTTTTTGTAGTTCTCAATTTATAATATTAATCCAACGCTGTTTTAATTAAACATAATAAGAACAACATATATGAAACCATAAAAGACTGTGTTGACATGGTTGAGTTAATGAAGAGGGGGATTAACCCCAAAGTTCAAAGACGACGTACGCTTATAATGTAAACCTGTATTCAGAAGAAGTCCCTGCCTGTATTGAGATGACCCAAGTCTCTGATTGGTCAAAACCGACAAACAAAAATGGCGGATTCAAAATTTCCTAATAACGCTTCGAATAATTTTATGTTAATTTCTGGCGTGTTAACCAATATTATAGCTTCTTGTTATTTCACATCAAGATAAAGAAAGATGTAAGGAATATGCTTCAATCGATCAAAACATCACAACGACGCATTATATTTGAAAACTAACTGGTGAAAATTTGCATAAATGAAGGTGGTACGCAAGAGACATATTAATATGTCAGTCATCGCTAAAGCTCTGAGGCTTTTCCTCCTCTTGGTTAATGCGAGTATAGGGATGGTTGATAATCCAGATTTTATGCCATCTATTTTAAAACAAAGGGAAAACATTATTATTTCTAAATGTATTTTAAGCCATTGAACTTTTTTGTAGGTTTACAATTATTTTACGCGTACGGTATTACTTATTTGGTTCGTAATCAAGGGCTACTATAAGACAGCATCAATACTTACACATATATAATCTAATATGATACGTGACATCATAGCTAGAACAATTGATAAACTGGTCTATATCGGAGTATGTATAAATGTTTAAAAATTTTGGCGATCATTCCATCATATTTCATAGTACTCGCAATTATATACCAAAAATGCCAGAAATATGTACTAATTTTGCATTTAGTGTTATTTAATTAAGTTTAAACAGACTATCCATTCAACAACGTGGCATAATATTTACTACTCTGAAGATTGTGTTTATATTTTAACTATCTTTATCTTAAAATTGCCATAAATTACTGTAAATGTAGAAAGTGGAGTTAACGATGAAGAAGGGATATTTTTGGACGCGTCCAAATAGTTTAATTCAAAAAAATTATTCGGTCAATTGTTACTTATTAATTAAGCTCTTTTAATTTGTGTTTTTCGCACATAATGTGAGTACTTTCCTTATGAATCGATGTATTCATTGAATACAGGACAGGCTAGTGGTTTTCGGGCAAAAATATGTGTAACACTGCCAGAATCGCTCATTTTCCGATTTAACAAGGCTGTAGCATATAAGATTCGTGCAAATAACGCGTTTGCGGATACCGGAAGTTAAGATATATAGTATGGTAAGCAATATAAATTACTTATATTTACATAAAGTCAAGTGACAGCAATTCCATAACCAAAGGAGCATGTAGGTTATCGCAAACAATTTCAAACGATTCTAACTTGAATTATGAATATTTTCTGATCATGAACATGGGTGTATCTTTTAGATCCATCCATTATCTTCAAGAAAAGAATATATATTGATAATTTAGTTAATCAGACCTAAGTGATATTGAAGGGGCAATGGACCAATCAACATACTTTTTCAAAAATATTGACCTAATTTTCACCAAAAATGCAACCTTTTATTATATTGTTGAATGCATAAATAGAATGTGCTTTGAGACATGTTTGATTTCCTAAAAGGAAAAGTTGATTGCTCCAGGGACTTTAAAGATACTGAATTTGGATGACCAAAATGAACTGAAACCAATGGATAGCATGAGATTTTTCAATGGAGAAATAACATGGGGAACACTTATCCTAAAGCAATTAAGTTTTTCTTTCAAGAACTATTTGATACATCAAAATAGAGAATAGTAATGCATTTTTGGTGAAAATGGGGTCAACATCTTTGAAAAAGTGTGTTGATGGGTTGATTGCTAGTTAAATATCTCCGAGTTTGTTTGACTTTATTATTACTGTATATAATTTTCTTTGAGATAATGAATTGGTCTAAAAGATAAACCTGTCTTAATTGTTAGAAAATTGTCATAATCCAAGATATAACCTTCTGAAATTGTTTGCGATAACCTACGTGCTCCTTTATCAACTTACCTATTACGGAAGACCAACTTATAAAATACGGAAAAACAAAAAGGGGTTTCGCTCAAATTAGTTATTTTTCAAAGAGATGCTAATAGAAGAGGAAATCCTTTTCAAGATGACCTTTAAATGACCTTCACTAATAATCAATATATTTTTCAAATTTGACATTCTTGTTGTAAGTACTAGGCATGGAGTATGTAAGTCGTCTCAGTGCTAGTAACTAAGTTGAATTCATAATGAAATAATAACAGAAATGACAATACAGACAGATTTTGACATTTACTGCCACGCCCAAGTACGCCCTCTGCCCACCTTGAAGTAGGGACCCATGATACTAGAAATTAAACATCGATGATTCGATATACAGATTTGGCATGGTATGAAACCTCTCTTCCGTTTTGTAACCAATCAAATCGCATATTTAGTTTGACACTAGATATTATTTATTACTTGATCCATTCATTGTATTGGAATAACTTTTAAACTAAAAGTATGCCTTTTTATTATTTTGTTTGTTTTTTTCAAAAAAGTGTTTGAAATCAATATAGTAATTCAATAAATCAACATCCTACTTATGAAAAAATAATTATTAGACAACTTAGTAACTCCCTCGTGGGAGGCGAGATCCCAAAAGCTGTCACTCCCACCGTTCAAATGAAATATTGGGACCTATTTGGAAAAATTGTCTCATGTTTTCATTAATGAACGTACTTTGAGGCTCCCGTTTGTTCAGCTTTAAATATCAAATGGATAACGGATGTAATGGATATAAATGGATGTACTCAAAAGATTAAAAGAACGTTGTTTGAGGATATTATTCTGAGAATAAATAAAATACTACATCGACAGTAAAACAATTAATAAATAGATTTCCCCCACTTTCTTCGACTAAAAACTTATTTTGATTGCTTGTTTCCGGTTGACATCTTTATTGTAAATTGGGGTACACTGACCATTCGCACGAACCATATTAAGAAATAATGTTACTATTTGAATACATAGTTTAACCATATATTTTGAATAAATATGGAGCTATTTTACACGTTCAAATAGAGTTTTGCTTGCAGTCAATAAATTAATATCTGAGCTTCTAGCTATGGTTTAACTATAGTCTTTGTGATCAGTATTTTGATAGTATACGGTTATGTATTGTATGTATTCTCCGCACAAGTAAAATTGCTAACAGAGGACGCCAGTAGCTCATAATTTCCTATGAGTTTCATGCCCTGAGATTTTTGTTTCGTACAGTGTCTCTGATATCCGGTAGCCATTCTCTCTTGGTGTAGATATCTTTTTCCAGCTAATCTTACGGGAAGAGGGAATTACCCAGAACTCAATCTGGCTCCGATTGGGTACGGGGCTCTTGTCGTTGGGATGGATTGAAGATGCCAAACTCGTACTTAAGCAACGGGGATGTAAACAACCTGGAATGTTTAAAAAGTAATATACCATAGTTATCACTTTATTATCACCACACGCGATTATCGCAATAATATGAACAATAAAACTAATTATCTTGTCGAAAGAGCTATATGATATATTAACCTTAAGCGTATGACAATCAGGATGTTAGGATGTTACCGATAACAAGTAGGACAACCTTAATTTACCTGTATTCGCCTAACATTGGGCAATCATAGAGCCAAGGTCGTTCATTTCACGTTCTGACAATGAGCGGAATTTGAAAGAAACTGCATTGAAATAGTTTCCACTGGACACCATACGTACTACGGAATGTTGACAACCGAGATCATAGAACAAAGCACCTAAAATGGCATAAAATGTCACTTATAACATTGGCAAGAAATATCAGCCTAGGTCATAGGACAAAGCACCTAAAATGGCATAAAATGTCACTTTTTACTTTAGCAAGATATGTCAGCCTAGGTCATAGAACAAAGTATCTAAAATAGCATAAAATTTCACCTATTACATGAGCAAGATATGTCAGCCTAGGTCATAGAACAAAGTATCTAAAATAGCATAAAATTTCACCTATTACATGAGCAAGATATTTCAGCCTACATGTAGGTCATAGAACAAAGCACCTAAAATGGCATAAAATGTCACCTATGACATTAGCAAGAAATATCAGCCAAGGTTATTGAACAAAGCACCTAAAATGGCATAAAATGTCACATATAACATTGGCAAGAAATATCAGCCTAGGTCATAGGACAAAGCACCTAAAATGGCATAAAATGTCACTTTTTACTTTAGCAAGATATGTCAGCCTAGGTCATAGAACAAAGTATCTAAAATAGCATAAAATTTCACCTATTACATGAGCAAGATATTTCAGCCTAGGTCATAGAACAAAGCACCTAAAATGGCATAAAATGTCACCTATGACATTAGCAAGAAATGTCAGCCAAGGTTATTGAACAAAGCACCTAAAATGGCATAAATAGTCACATATTACATGAGCAAGATATAACAGCCCAGCCAAGGTCAAGCACCTAAAGTGGCATAAAATGTCACATATAACATCGGGAAGAAATATCAGCCTAGGTCATAGAACAAAGCACCTAAAATGGCATAAAATGTCATTTTTTACTTTAGCAAGATATATCAGCCTAGGTCATAGAACAAAGTATCTAAAATAGCATAAAATTTCACCTATTACATTAGCAAGATATTTCAGCCTAGGTCATAGAACAAAGCACCTAAAATGGCATAAAATGTCACCTATTACATACCAAGAAATAGTTTAATTTTTTGTCCGCTATGGACGAGCAGTTTCAAATGTGAAGTACATTAAGATTTCTAATATATCTTTAACAACTTCACTTTAGATGAGAGAACGTGTCAATTTGGGAAAGGAGACAAATCTTTCGAAATTAACTAATAATTAATCAAAAAAGATATTATTTCATTCTTCATTTTCAGTTAATTTGATGTTCACTAAAAATATTGAAGAAAAAAATATTGAAACGGTAGTCCTGTCCATGTCCTGTCCATGATGTCATTAGTACTTTTTCTATGTCCTCTTAACTTCTTTTAGTAGTTGATTTGAAACAGTGCCTATTTGGAAATTAAAGTAGTAGAACGGTGAACCAAGAACCTTAACAAACACCACCTCAATAAATGACAACACACTGTAAATTATGCATCTCTTGTAGCCTTGCCCAAGTCGGGATTTTTTTTACTTATCTGATCTTGAATTATAATAGAAATCAAGATAAGTAAAATAAACCGACTTGGGCAAGGCTACATCTCTTGATAAATTTCCTTTTTCAATACTTTTTCCTTTTAAGTCAATTTTTCAGTCAAACACATTTTCAATTTCTTGTCCCTTTTACCCAAAAATATAGTTTTTCTTATAACATTTTTCGAAATTTATTGCTTCTTGAGTAAAAACACGATATCCTAAATGAATAATTAGGTATATGCATCTGTTACATATTTAGATTGTAATTATAATTACCGGCAGGGGTTTCCATCCCACAAAAGTGACCAACCTTCCACATCGTCATTGGGTCCATGCCGTTTCCATCACGAACTTCAACGTAATCTCCACCTTTACGTGTGCGGCACTGGAATAATTAGAATAGAATAATTGATTAATATATAATACGTATCTAGCTTGGTCTTCTACACTTTTTCAAAATTGGTCATTTTATCCGGTCTGGGCAGTCGAAATGTTGAGACATGCGCAGACCTTTATTTAGTGATATTTTCATTTCAAATATGGCGGCCAATCCGATGTCTGACGACCCTTACAAAGAATCTAGGCAGTTTGCATTTTTACCTCCTGTGAAATAACAAGTGGAATTTAGTAGTTGTTTTGTGTTTATTATCATTCTGCATCGTAATTCTATGTGATGTGGTGTTGAAATGTCAGCAGAAATAGATATCCATACGATAATCGAGTGAATCAGATAACAGATTTTTCGAAAACCCGTCTCGTGCTAAGAGTGTAAAAACTTGTATTAACATGCTCAAAAGTGCCAATGTGCACATCAATGTCAAGCTAAATCAATGTTGTGTCTAAAACAGGTACCCGATCTACTCAAAACAGCTTGTCATTCACGTATACACGCTTAGCAAACACGGCGAAATGACCTGAATCTTGGAATTTCGTTCAAGAGCTAGTAATGTTTGCTCCGGTCTTCGTCATAAGTGTTCATCAGACTTCACGCATGCGCAGGAGAAAAACCATCAACCAATAACGTTTATAAATCAATTTTGCGCATGCGCCTTACAACGGTAAACAAATTCGTATTTATAAACGAACCAGTTTGAGATAACCCGATATCAGTCGGAGAAATCTGACGATCTACGAAACTCACTTCAAAAAATCAAATGCGGACTGACGGCGTATTCTACTATGTTTGGATCTAAGATTTTCAGTATAGATAAAGTCTTTTATGATCTTTCGAATGAGGTAAGTCTCTAGTTCGAAAGACAATCGTATCAACTTGAACAAAAGTTGAGTTTTGACGAAAAATTTTAACATGCGCAGAAGTCCCATTTTCGTTGTTCCATATTGACTGTGGGGCATTATTCTTAACGCTTAACGAACATTTCATTCTCAAAATGTTTACACGATTTATGTTACAAAATGACCAATCAACATTGAAAATATGCAGCATGTGATACCTTTGAACAGAATTTAGAAACAACAATAAAAAACAAAATCAACTGACGCTCGATGAAGAAAAGTACGCGAGTAATTTAATTTGAGAAGTTAGACGAGAAAACTTTAAATGGTGGCTACATTGAATAATGCCCTACCCTTTCTATAGTACCAGCCCGTCTCAAGCCCATAGGTATATCTGGGTTCGATCCAACATTCACCTCTTCAAATTCAATTCGCTCGGGATATATAATGGACAGTGAGCAATTTCTTCTTTTGCCGTAATTAGAAAGTGTATATTCGCCTTCTTGAAATATTGATACAGCATTACACGCTGGAATTAACAAGAAGATCAATTAACATTGATTCTTAATCATGGTCTGGGCAAGGAAATTATATAAAATTTAATAATACAAATGGAAAGGTGTTACAAAATAGCAAAATAAAGTTTAATTGAAATATAAGTATCCTTGTTGACAAAATGCCTTTAAAAATAACACCAAATGGGCATTAGTATTTTGAGAGCACTTTATCCAATGGCTCTTTTCAAAAGAAAAACGAGCGATTAAAACTTACGTTCGGGATTTTGTGGAAAATTAACTTTGACCTGGAAACCCTGTCCAATAACCGGTATTCTAAATTGCAGCAAGGCCACGTTCTGGGAAGATATGTAGAATTTCTTTGGGGCATCTTCGCCACAAAACGAGTTGAATCTCGAGTCTATTGGCACTTGGTGGTCCTGCTCACTCGGGAAGTACTGACCCTGAAGTTCCCAGCCATCTACAATCTACAACAAGCAGGTAAAACCTGTAAATGATGTCAAATAACAGTCTCACATCAATTCTCTGCGATCCCTCCCCCTACCCATGATAACTCTACTTAAATATGAGGAAGGAAAAGAATGGAGAGAAATTAGACAAACAGGGGATTTAATTAATGATAAACTTAACATTATATTTTATTCTTTATGTTGAGTGAGAGTACAGGATTGACACAGCATTAAGAAGACTGTTTGTTCCTACATGCTTTATTACTACCTTTATCCAATGTGGAAACAAATAAAAGAAGCTTATCCGAATATCAAATGCAATTAAAAACAAAGATCAATCAAGATTCGAATAAATTACATGTTATACAGACAAATTGAGTGCAAGCGGAAACAGTTGGCAAATCGGAAGACAGTTTTATTGGTCCTCTCTATATAGATAGAGCTCAAACATACGTCATTTGGGTTAAAACACATTTGGAGAAGTTTTAACTCGAGATTTTATAATACGATAAATACATTCAAGGGTGTGAATCTTCTTATAGTTGAGTTTTTCTAAAGCTGTTTTTCTGTGCTGGCCAGCAAACAAACAATAACGGATCCCGGGATAACTAAAACTGGTTCGCCGGCCATTCTTTCTGTCCCATTGTATTACATTGCGGGCGACTCCCACTTTTTAATGGAAACCCTTATTTCGCACATCTTTACTAATCACTTACACTAAGCAATCCCCCGTCTTGGCACCCAATATTAAAGCTTGTGAATTCTATCTCTACGAGTTGGTCTGTTAGTCCTATGAGGAAAAATCCACACACTTGTTGGCCTCCTATTGAGCTGTAAATATAGTCCCCTGGGACACTGTCCATATCCGTACATCCTAAAATTATTATATAATATTTAGATTACAATTATTAGTGTTAGTGTTACACTTTTGTGATAATTGAGGGCAACAAATAACCATTGTTGTCAAATTCTCGTTCGATATTGCGAGCTATCTTTGAAAACAGAAAGATAGGACGAATGTCGAATGGCAATGATCAAGATTACGCCAGCTCGATAGCAACTGTACTTACCATTACACTCGTATGCCGAAAGGAAGAAGGGTTATTAACTTCCCGGATGTAGTATGAGGGGCATTTAGTACGCCAGTTATGCCACTAAATTTCTTTGAGATTCGTAATTGTCTTGATAATGAAACATGATGTTGCGAGTTCCGTGTTGGCAACGATGCGTATAAATGTGCAATCGAGTGAAATAAAGTAATAATTAGTTTTAATGGTTTCTTATATTCAAGAAATTAAGTTTGATAGGTACACGATGCTGCACTTACGGCCTACTTAGTGCTGAAGTATCGCGTTTAGAATAAAACGAGGCTCTTAAAGATAGATCTAGTGACTCAATAAAAAACGTTTCTAGAACTGTCAATCTTTTTAATTAAGTTCGTCAAAAATATCATTATTTAGCTTTTTACCTATTTCTCGACCAGCTACGCTCCTTGCATGCCTCGTCAGCAAATTATCAGCCTGAAAATAAAATAATAGTTCTAAGTAATTATGAAGAAATGTGACTCAATTGGAATCCTTTAGTTGAATTAGTTATTAATTATAAGAGCATTTTCAAACATCAACGATTCTCATGGGACCTTTAAAACATCATTGATTTGATTTGATCAATCTATAATTTGAAGTAACAAAAAAGTATTTTAATAACGACCGCATCTTTCCCACGATCGAAGCGTTCAATTAACGTCTTATTACACGTCGTTGACAGTAGCTCTGCATTGGAATTTACTTAAATGAGAATAGTGTGTCTATCGACTGGTGCAATTTATGGATTTCAAACATCTGGGGGTGTTTTAAGGTCAAAATCCACATCCAAATCTCCAACAAATTTTTATTTGATTTTTGATTTTTCTTTATTTTTCCATAAATCATAAAGCGCAAGGGACGAACGCGGTATTGAACAAGACTCAAATTAAGTTATTAGATGTTATTCTTTGCAATGCGGCCAAATAGACCGGAACTAGAAAGTTTTGACTGTTAGTTAACAACAATATGGACCTTCATCCGCATACCACAAGTACACAGACCTCAACCAACATACTACAGGGTGAGCCAAAAAGGGTACTTAACCAAAACAAATGTTAAAAACTCCGTTTTCCAACATGGATTTAAAATCATATTTGGCACAATTATTCCTTGATCAATAATACGGAGCTTTCTTTTAAGAAGTGAAGTCGAACGAATGTAAAGGACATTGCTCAATGTTCTCTCATTCTATTAAGTTTCATTGGTCTACTTTTGATGTTACAGATTTTATGGCCATTTATAAAACATGCTTCAAATGCGGAAAAATCACCCGATGTGAATCTCCAAACTTTTATTCTTGGAACCATTTCAAAGATAGTATCCACATTTACAATTCTAGAAGCATGGGCATAGTGAGGGGGGTTTGCGGGCCTCATGCGAACCCCAAATTCGCCTTGAACCCCCCCCCCCCTTCTCCCCTTCTTTATAAAACGAACACCTGGCCGGTAACAACCGCCTTTCTGAAACCCCACTAACAGAAAGATGACTTTTTAGTATACTATATTCTGTACTTGGTTTGCTGAATCCGTTTCTGTCTTGATAAATGAATATAAAGTCCAACTATTTATTGAACTACCTCGTACCTGTACTTATAGAGTGGAAAGTTCGTGCGTGGGTGATGCCATATTACGAAACAAAGAAATTAACCTCAATTAACTGAATTAACCGAAATTAACCTATTATATATAATATCATATGACGTAATGTCATAATCATGTGATTGTATCTATTGCTCATCTTGTTGAAATATAAAAGACTAAAACCTGCAACCTGCAACCTGCATCAACCCAATTTTACTATTGTTGGAATCACTAAATATAGAATTCTCAGAATTCTAATTTGTTCAATTTAGATCAAACGATTATCTCTAACTTAAAATTGCACGTAAAGCGGCCTTTAAACAAGTAAACTCAATCAGCGACGATGTCGTCTCAATTCAAAATTTACATTATAAGCGTATGTCATCTTTGAACCCTGGGATTTCTCCCCCTTTTAACTATTGGATAGGGTAAAAGGAAAGATGTCGCCACATCACATAACACATTAGCCCATTATTGCCCCAGTTTATTAACTATAGATGTGCAAGGAATTATTTCAATTTTGGAATTAATTTAATTTTAGTTACCTTTTCCGACAATTAGTTACATTCGCCAACAGCCGCAGGGTAACTACAGAGCAGAGACATTTTTATATGTCTCTGTACAGAAGTACACACAGAACTCAGCTCGAAACTGATAACGGTAACGGCCATAACCTTCGCATCAAAGATGGCGGATAGTAAGTGTCGATTTTGATATTTTAAATGATGCGGTAATAATGGAGAGCTAAGATGTCCAGTTACCGCGTATTGAAAACTAACATGATCGTTACCTTAAAAGTGGTGGAAGAAATCATTAAACTGTCACGCCCACGCATGACAGAAGAACAAATTATCATACTTCTAAGTTTCCATGTCATATAAGCCAAATACCAAAGCAAAACTTCAACTAGAAAGTAGTTTGATTCGATGGAAACTAAAAATATCGAAATCGACAGTAACCGCCCGCCTTCTTAGATGCGAAGGTCACGGACGTTACCTTCGCTTTATAAAAGTGATTATATGAGAATCTTCTCATAAAGGATTAATATTACGTACATCATATGCCATTATAATTATGTTGAAGTGATATTGCGTGAATCAAAAAACATTAAGAAAAACACCCTGACGTGGAACGTTCGTTTCAATTGCACACTAATCGAGAAACACTTTCATTACTTTTCTATCAACTTCAATTAATTTGTTCGCGACAACAACAATTTGGATAAGATCGTTTAATGCAATATTGATGAAGCAGCTTTTGTTCTTCTGTCATAATATCAAGGATCAATGGCGTTAGTGACTTACCTAAAAACCTTCATTATTCAATGGTTTTTAAAATGAGTAGGAGTACGCACCGATGTGTGTCTCAAATTCTGTATTAATAAGAATAAGCACGACTCGAGTTCGATAATCTTGCTTCGAGAGCCTGGACACCTCCCTCAATATCTACTTTAACAAAAGGTAATGTAACCTGATGTAAAGTAGATATGGGGGGGGGGGGGCAGGGACTTGTAGCAGGAGTAGAGTTTGATTGTATGTAGCATTATCGCGTTACCGCGTTGCATTTACAGCATTGCCGCATTCCTTTTACGGAAATGAATATTGCGTAAAACCGTCTACAGAACGGACATGCGATATTCAAATGACCAACCATATGGAATGATACATCACAGAAAATGTACCTTTTATTGTTAACGGTTATTCTAAAGACGCCATTAATGGAATCTAATAGTCGAACACCTCAGATTAAGCGAAACAAACGCAATAATAATAGGCAAGTAAGAATATCAGGAATCCAAAGTGAAGGATATTAAGATTTCTTGAAATAACAAAACTGCTCAAACAGCACCTTTTTCCTAATTCAAAAATATATTTATTTATTGCAGTTCGATGTCTAGGTAGTTAATCAGTATTAGACACCAAATACCGCCAACTAGCTTCCAGTTTCTAGTATAGCTACTTCATAGGGTTTGCTTAGAACTATAGAAGCCACTCCGTTATATCATATGATGATGTATGGTGTCGCAGACGCAACATTCATCGCTTCAACTAATGTGTTGCATTGATGGCTGGACAATAGTTGGCTGTATAATCAAGTAAATTGAATATAATCTATTGACCGGTTGATTAATCCTAAAATACAACGTGTCCAGCCATTTCCTGAACTCTTGTAATTAGTTAAGGTTTATAATTGACATTATTAAGACACTAAGGAGTATTTACTATGGTCTAGTTTAGGCAGTAAGGAGCTTAAACCACGTAATTTAAAACTACACCCCCTCTATGAGTTTGGAAGACCTTATTTCCATATTGGACACGTCATGTATGATATATTGACACACGATGTGGTCTGCCGTCTGTATGTCAGACAATTTTCCGGTGGCAATTTTGTTTTAAGCGGCAGCAAGGGATAGAGATGACTTGATTTTGACTGACTGACTGACTTCTTGAAAAAATTAGAATTTTACAATTTTTTGCTCATTTCTCGTCTAGGAGTTCTGACTTTTTATTCCATTGAAATGTTCTTGGCAATAATTCTTAAGGAGAACAATTATCTTTTCAAGATTTTCAAGAAAATATTGCATTTAATATTTTACACGCTCTAACCGTTACTGCCAAAGTAATGTTTAATTTCTCAGTCTCCGAATTTAACGGTTTATTTTTTCTTTATCAATTCGATCAATGCATCGAAAATTGGTTGTGTACGGATTTATGCCCTTCTCACATACCCTTCTCATTCTTCCTTAAGTACTGATCAATGAGATCAACCCAGATTTAAATCCAATATAGTTAAAATTTTCACATACAAATTCTTCAATTAGAAAAGGCGATGAGTGACATATTTAACCTGCATACTGAACATCTTCGAATATTAGTTTCTGATCTCTTGAAACCATCAATTTTGAATGACAATGCTTTTCATTTTCTCGACCTGGTTTAAAAAACAAAAATGCAGGATTCTAAACTTTATTGATCCACTGAACAGTAGTGTTTGAACAAAGAATCGGTATCGTAGTTAAAATAATGTTGATAAATAGGCACGACTATTTATGAGACGTGCATTGCTGTAAATCTCTAATATAAAATCTTGTGAATCATTCTACTAAATGTTTACTAATTAGCGAGGGAAAACAAGCATTTTCTTGACAAACATTCTAATACTACTAGTTACTTTTTTAATTTTCCTACGAAGCCATCCACCAGTAGTAGTCCCTTTCCGTTTGTAGCAATACATCGTTGATGTTTATTTGAAAAAAAATTTATTTTTTTGTATCTTGCGAATACAATTTAAATTCGTAATATTCCAAAATACGCCAAATTCTAATTCGCATTTCTGCTACTGATATTCTAAGTTATATCACTTCATGACAATTGACCAAAACAGTGAACATAAAAAACTTTCTTACCTTTTTCTGAAGTGGAGTCGAAAGACATAAGTTGAATAGATAGAACGAGATGAAAATTCGTAGCATTTTGACAGTTCTTGCTCCACTCTGTTCGTAAAGAAGGATGCGATGAGGTATTTATATGTCGATCTCCGACCACGTAGTGTAGGATACTATATCTTTGAGCAATCTAGTTCCTGGTCCAATTAAGTCCTGTCCACCTGTAAAACGTCGAGGACTATACGTACGTCATCTGTCATTTCATCCGCTGTGGACGCTTATTGGATGCTGCATTATTGATGAACCAATCTATTCAGATGGTCAAATACAGCATGTCATTCTACAGTTTGTCAAAATGAAAATGAGCACAACCCACTACAAACGTTCACAACTCATTTACTCAATGAAAACTACCTGATAGTTGATTAAAAAAATTCAGCCTCCACTCGGCTGTACTTAGTTTAACTGACAAGTTTCAGAAAATGTACAGGTTGGGACGCCAAAAACTCAATACACAGTTTAACGTATAAGAACATCATTATGTGATTTAAGGAACACCACTTTGAATTATTAATCATATTGAAAATAATTCAAATTCCCATGTTTTGATATATAATTACATTATCTCGAATATAAATTGTAATTGTAAGGTGGGGGATTGAGTTGATGAGTTGATAGTTTCACTCAATTTTAATTTCTGGTTGATATTGTTTGTGGGACTGTTTTTGTCAAGAACAATTTAAGATCCCGAGTTGCCCCTATCCACCGAGTTTTTTTCATGCAAATATTACAAAAATTGTGACCACGTGTACCACCGATCATTTAAGCTATATACCATTGCTCCTATACTAGCGTCCGGCAAGTGGATTTTTCATTATGACCGACCTCTTTCATCCGGGGGAAATTGAAGCCTTGTTTAAACAATTTTTGCATATCAGTAGGAAATGATGTCTCAGAAGGTGACGAAATATGCAAAAAATCATGCAAAAAGTTAGACAATTTAATTTTGTATAAAAATGATTTTTGGTAAATGTTTTCTTGAACAGATATCCTGAAATCTGATTTACCCCGAACCCGCTATTTCCCATGTTTACATTGGAATGACGATTTTCAAAAATTCATCTTTGTCACCAATTTTCGACCTATTGTAATTGAGGGAAAAAAATTGAAAAAAACTGAAGGTACATCTCCGACTTCATTATCAGTTTTTTTCTTTAAAGATTATAAAAATAGAAATACAAACATAGAAGGTCTTTAACACGTAAGTCTATGGGGAAATATTCTGTTTATTGATAAACACTGTAATGACCTCCAATAGCAAGTTGCTACTATAGTTTCAGCTCAGGGAGAGAGCGTCTGACTCAGAGCGGAAGGTCCTTGAGTTCGCGTAATTCACATTTTAACCCGCGAAATTTAAGACTGAACGCGTGTAATCTACGCCTACACCAGGTGTAAACAAACACTTACAAACATTGCCAGTTATAATGAAGATCTGCATACATTAAGTGCAGTGTTCAAACGTTGCAAAATAATTGCAATATATCCGGCTGTTTAATTTTGAGGGGTCAATAAACTAGACATGCAAGTAGAAATAATCTTGATTTACGCCATTAAATAAATATTCAAAATTCAGTCAAAGTGATGTCATATTTAAAATCTACATGTAAAAGTACTTCTAGAAATATGGTTTCGAAAGGAGTGGTATCGATATGGAGAACTGAATTCAACAATGTTTTTTCTCTTAAACCAATAATTGAAAACATTCTGTAAAAAACACGATATTTTATGTAATGTTAAATTGACAACAATTTAATGCGAAAATTATTTTAAAATATTTTATATAACTTTTGATTTTTTAGTGCAATTGTTTTTGCTCCTTTCTACCAATTCTTGAGAATGAAATAAAATGTCTTTCCGAACCTTGTTGGAACAAAATAGCATATACAACATTTTCTTAGACCTCTCAATATTACAGTATAGTTATACAAAGGAATTTTTGGTTGATTTTAAAAAAGTATTCAAAAATTAAAACAAAATCCCCCCAAAACAGATAAAAATCAAGATAAAGCTTTTATTTCATTAACAAGATACCTTTTTAAAATCAACCAAAGTTTCCTTTGTACAATTACAATATTGAGAGACCTAAACATGTTGTGTTTATGTCGTTTTGTTCCAATGAGGTTTGGAAAGATGTTTCATTTCACTCTGGAAACATGATACCAAGAACAAAACATTATATTAGTGTTTGGTGAAATTATATTGTTACCATTCAAAAGATGATTTTAGATATTTTTATGACTGGTTTAAGAGAAACGTGTGTTCAAAAAGTTCTCCATATCGATACCACTCCTTTGTTAATCAACTTTGAAAATTTAATATTTCTTTAATATTTCTGTGACTTCTAGTTCAGGGAGATTCCCCATAGACCCAATGTTACAAAATCACATCGCGAAATATCTTTTCTTGTACTGGACTGATAACATTTTCTTTACGGGAGATGGTTTAATTTGCATAACTTTTAGATACATAAGGGGCGATATGAAAATTGAGCCACTAAAACAGATGTAATTTAAGTTAAAGGGGACTTTCTATTAAAGCCGCCATGCTACATGTATCTGACCCGAACGAGCCACCTGGTGGTGAAACTGGTAACTACCTACTCGCATCTGCGTTATTGTAACATTACGTTCTATGAGGACAGGTCCGAAGCTTGATCGGGAGCTTGATGAAGCAACAGAAGAAGTGAGTAGCTCCCATAGGGGACAGCGGGGCAAGACGGGGCAAGAGCAAGATATTTTGCTAGGGTTTCTGTCCGCCGAACCCATATTATTGAAACAAGGAACATTGGTTCTCTGAGATACAATGGTATTGATTTTTAAATAAATTTTTGAATTGCTAATAATTATGCAACTCACTTTTGAAAAAATGATCTTGTGTAGTCATGGGGCAAGAAGGTCCCCCATGAGGCAAAAAGGGGCGTTCTATCAGAAATCTTCTTTGAAATGTAGGTTTTACCAAATTCTCACAGAAGTGGGGCAAAAAGAGCCACTTTTTGGGGAAAGTGCTGCCGATTGAAGCTGGCTTCTATATTAAACAAAATGAACGGCGAGTGAAGTCCCCTTTCAGAATAATATCAGGCGATATGTACTTTAAAACAATAAAATAAACGTGGTGGTCCGTCTTGCCCCACGGCCCTTCTTAGTTCTTACCCCGCTGTCCCTTAATACTATCGTATTATTTCGTATTAGGGGATTCCCCTTAGCTTTCCCGTATGGTCAAACAAACCTTAAATGGATCTATCACATGATATTCAAAATGGCGGACAACGGTCTGTTGCCAGGTTCCATAGGAGGATTGGCTCCCAGAGTGCAACATCGATATTCTGTCCCATATATAGTAAATGGGCATGTCGTGATACAACATTCAAATTCAAACTGCCGCCGTTTTGTTCACTTCAATATTTGAATCGTGAATGTTGGTCCACAGCCAGCACCATCTCATGCAAGTGGCTTTGATCAGTGATATTCTATGTTTATTTAACTTTTTTTATTTTTGTAACTTGTCAGAGAATTTCTTTTTAACATTTCATGGCGATCAATAAATAGATATGAGGTCATGTCCATGAGCAGAGTTTTGGCCCAAAAAAATTTGCACTTCAAGCTCAATATCTGCAATTTGCAAGCGATTCTGACCATATTTTAAGTATCAAATAATGCTTAGACTCAACTGAAGTTAAAAAATAAGGTGAAATATATACCAACACAGTGATCATGACCAAACAAAAACGGAAGTCCAAACCGGAAGTCAAAACAGTAACCGCACTTTCAGTCTTATATTGAATAATGAAGATTGATAGTGGTCACTGTGTGTTGGTCAAAACAAAACTCACAAGAAATGATCGAGATATTTGTTCGACCAATCCTCCTTGTTGGTTTCATATATGGTTCTATAAGCCTTATATGGATCTAGCACATCGGTACCACGTGATCGAATACGAAGGTTGAACTTTGGGAGACCCCCCTCCACCTTGATGAAGCTGAAGCAAGATGCAAAAGAGATCAAACATTCCACATTGTTTTGATTACACTGGACGAAATACCTATTCCAAGAAAATCAACTGAAGCGAATTCCCATAAAATTGCTCACAATAAATTCCATGCATTTTTTCATTTAATTAGTTTGAGATTCGACGACTCGACATCGCAGATGATAATTGATAAACCGATTCATCCACTGACGATTTGATGTACAGAACACTATGAGCGCGTATTTCAATAAAAATGTGAGCCAGCGTGCATTCAATAGTTTAGGTAAACATTAGATGAGATAATGCTTCAAATTTTTTGACCTTGAAAATGTTGTGATCATTGGCGTTTAAAAGTGAGTTGGAGGGTATGGTCGTTGGAGATGGTGGAAAACGTTAATCTCAAAAGATGATATCCGCATTACTCTAGATACTAAATAAATATATAATCTCTCCCTGTAGCTTTAATTAGAGCTACAGGTTTTTTTGATAAATGGGAAACCTTTGTAGTAAATATATAGCTTTGGAATGTTATTGTTTTTCCTAAAAATTAATAAAAACGAATGACGCCTTTAAGAAATGTTCTTCGTATTTCTTTGGCCTCATTTTCGTTTTACATATTTCGAAAACGGCACTCCTTCATTTTTAGTTTTAATAATATGCAATCTTCATTTCCTATTGTGATATTTTCGACCAGTTAAGACCATTGATGAGAAAAAGCAGCATCCAACTCAAAAGAGGATGTTTTAAAGACCAAATTCAAGCACGTTTTGGTGGGGCAAACTTGCATCCATTTCCTCTCTAAGTATGCACCCTATGCTTAGTGAGCGGACCTAATTTCAAGGGTGATGGTAAAGACGAGGCATGGCGCCCAAACCTGGCCTGTAACTAGGTGCACTGATGCTTTCTTCGCAAATTACATCGCCATTGCTCGTCATCGAAATTCTGATCGCCGAATAGACACTCTAGTAAACATTCATTTTGCATTGGATGTACATAACTAGAGACCGCCTTATTTCGCATATATGAAAAAATAAGACATATCTAGGTACATATATCTTTATATGTGACATCGATCAGGAATTATTGACATATTGACAATATTAGGTTGTAATTTCTTGCGGTGAATTCAAATTGTATCTTTAAACGACTGTTTCATCTTAACTATTCGTT